TTCTCTTACTAACACACCCACGAGATGAGTGGCTTTTCTGGTGAAAAGCCAGCACCTACTCTGCCACTAACTTGCATGTGACTTAAGGGCAGACTTTTTTTAACACCCTGGGCCTCGGTTTCCCCATCTGTCAGTGCCACCTGAAATCCCTCCTGGATCTGACATTTGTAAGGGAAAAATAATGTTGGTTTGCTGCTTCTGGGTAACTGGGCTTCCTTTTTACAGCTCCGCTCTTGTTATTGTTCATGAAATTCTCAGTGATCGGAGTTGGATGGCTAGCGGCACTAACATATTTGGGGTCTGAGACTCCCTCCTCTTGAGTGATATCCCAGTTCTTTGAGCAGACATGGCAGGTGGCAGGCCTCCTACAGCCTTCAGTCACCGGGATTGTGAGAGGCTGCTTCTCCGCTGACACCGTTTAAGAACTGGAATTGGCCATGGCTGAGGTTCCTTTTCCAGCGACACAGATGGTCTGCATAGCAAACAAACGCTGTTGTTTTTTGTCTTATTTCTGAAAACAGGGTCAGAAAACCTTCATGTTTCTCACATCTTGCAAAAAGCAAAAATTGAAGTCAGTGAAGACGGAACCAAAGCTTCAGCAGTCACCAGTAAGCCGGGGTCCTGGCGGGGCTGGTCCTGGTGCGGGGGTGAGGGGTGAGGGGTGAGGACTTCCGGTCAGGTGCTGTGGGGTGACTGTCCAGACATGGTGGGAAATGAGACAGATTGAAGACCTGTGCCCATGGGCCTCTGAGTCTGTATCATTAAGGGAAGCACTTCAGTGAGAAAATTCCTCCGGGACGAGAGTCGACAAACTCTTTCTGTAAACTATGTATTTTCTGCTTTGTGGGCCCTACCGGCTCCAAAGCAGCTGCTCTGCCATTGAAGTGACAGAGCAGCAGAGATGACGCAAGCCAGAGGGCCCGGCTGTTTCTACAAAACCTGATGAAGGCAGGATCTGTCCCCACACAGCCTGAGCACAGCAGTGTGCCGAGACCGGCTCTTGGCAGGACAGAGCGCATTCTGGCTTCTATGGGCAGAGAAGACCAGTCTTCAGATAGAAACATAGCATAATAGCACTTAACTCACAGGAAACGAGTCAGTCGGGTTCACCCAGGACAAAGTGAAGAACTAGCACGCAGCTGCTGATTGGAGCAGGATGGCCGTGCAGCCTTTCTTGGTCATTTGAACATCCACATCTGCTTTCTCCTTGACGGCTCATATAATGAAGGAGGAAATGGAACAATCTTCGGTTGTTTCCTTTTTACCCCTTGATTATCCACGTGAGATTGCTTGAATAGATATGACCAAGCCCTGTGAGCTCATAAAGTGAATCATATCTCAGCTACACTTGTAACTGGGTCACGTATTTCTGGTCATTAAAAGTACCATTTATCCCCACAGTGGACACGTTATTGCCTTTCTAAAATAACATTTAATGTGTATTTCTTTAAAATAGCATTTGAAACAAAGACCTAGAATAAGAGGGGCTGGAATTTTGTAAATGCCTCCTGTCTTTTCTGGGTGATTATAAGTGACATCTAAGTTTTGCCCAAGTTATTGACCCGTTTTGCCAACAGCATAACTATCAGGACTGGCTACATAATTTGCAGGGTTCTTCGCAAAATGAAAATATGGATCCCCTCGTTCAAAACTGATTGAGAATTTGAGATAGCAGCAGCAGGTCACTAAACCACATGCGGGGACCTTGTGAGTGTGGGGCCCTGTGTAACTGCCCAGGTCAAATCCTCATGAAGCCCAGCCCTGCTGTATTAGTCTGCTCAAGCTGCCATAACAAGTCCCAACAGAAATTCATTTCTCACACTTCTGGAGGCTGAAGTCCAAGATCTAGGTATTCGCAGGGCTGGTTTCTCTTCAGTCCTGTCTCCTTGGTTTGTGGATGTCCGCCTTCTCACTGTGTCCTCATAGGCCCTTTCTCTGTGGGTGTCCATCCCTGGTGTTTCCCTCTCTTCTCCTAAGGACCCCAGTTTTATTGGATTAGGGCTCTACCTTCATGCCCTCATTTAAGTAAACACCTCCTTAAAGGCCCTATGTCCAAATACAGTCACGATGGAGATTAAGGCTTCAGCATATATGTTTTGAGGGTATTCGATTTAGTCCATAACACTTGCTCTTGAGTTGTTTTTAATAACCCTGGGTTGAATGCTGTATCCCAACATAGCTGCAGATGTTTTCTTTGTAATATCAAGCCCAGGTCATTAATGCTTTCTGGGGCTTGAACAAGAGGACCGGGTCAATGCAGCAAGCATGGGGCAGTTACACCTGGCACTACCGCGGGCTTATTAAATTGAAGCCACTGTTGGTAAGCACGGCAGAGTAAGCACGTCTAAGACCATGAACTAAAGAAGTTTGCTTTCTAAGTCCAATGTCTACACCAAGATGAGATGGACAACACATTAGGTCCCAACGAGTGGTCTACGTTGCCAATGGGAGGAAAACCTAGATCGTGCCAGAGGAAGAGGCACAGACTCAGAGGTTGAGCACGAAGCTGGGCTTTGATACGCAGAAGGAATTCAAATTGGCTGAAAGGACCAGCTGCCTTCATCAGAAAGGCAGATGAAATAAATAGAAAACAGCCACTAATGATGGTGAACAAACATTGTGCTAAGACCTATAACATGTTTATGTCACTTAACCCTCATAGAAACCCTACAAGGAGTAAGTGCCTTTATTAAAGGTAATACTTGTGTAGACTGAATAAGATGGTAAAGGCGAAGGGCCTGGCCCATGGTGGCTGTTCAGTACATGGGGACCATTGGGTCTTTTATGATACGTCCAGCCCATGGAACAGGAGTTAAGTGTGTCCCCAAACACCAGCATCAAGGCTCCGTGGGGCCAGCTGCCTTGCTGGCCACACGCTGGGTGCACAACATGTTTCCTTTTCTTCCCACAGCTGCGATTCTAATTGCAAGGTCATCTCCTCCCTGGTTTATAGTGGACAGACCTTTTCTATTTTTCATCCGACATAATCCTACAGGTAAGTGATTCTCCTCTTCCATTGGTTACAAGTTAGAATTCAGAAAGGTGGATTTGTAGTGACATCCAATGGTGCTGCTTTTAGTCTATTTCCCATGTGGCAACAATCACAAGCACTTCAAATAATATAACCACACTCATTGGAGAGAGAGGAAAATCAGACTGTGTTTATAAAGTGTGATGGAATCTTTGAAACAAGGACAAGATTTTATGTTTGTGTTGTTTGTTTTATCTTGTTTTTAACATGTAGAGAGCTCTGCCACCCATTGAGCCATTTTTAACAACTATTGATTTTCTTTTAAATAAATGCAGTAAAATTTTATAAGAAGCTAGATGTCATCAACCTCTGTAAGCCCACTCCACGGTTAAGATTTGTTAATTCAGTGGATCTTGGCTCTTTGAGTCATTGGTTCAAACTTTAGCTCCATCTTTAAGGGTAGCAGAAGTTCCTACCCCTTAGTACAACTCTGAAGAATAAATAATACTGTCTTTGTGGAAAGGTTGGGTTCATGTTGGTGCAGAGTAGAAACTAATACACTTTAACTCTTACCTTTTTAAATCAATAATATAAGCTAGTTCCTTATCCTGTCTCATTGCAAGTTCAATGTCATAATTAGTGTGCGCCCTAATCTCTAGCACATGTAGCTATTTCACTTCAACTTTTAACTCATTTACATGAAATATAAATATATTTCAAGAGCTTAGTAGCCACATGTGACTCATGGCTGCCATCCTGGACCATGAAGGTATAAACTGTTTCCATTATTGCAGAAAGTTCTGTTGAGAGCAGTTAACTTTAAACTTACCCCAGGGACCTTCCCTTAAATGTGTCTTCCATCTTATTTTTTTAAAAACTTTTTTACAGTCATGCATTGTTTTCTTTCAATTCTGTAGGTGCCTTCTTATTCATGGGGCAGATCAACAAACCCTGAAAGGTCCAACAGAAGAAGCCATGCAAAGCAAACCCAACTTTGCTATGAAGAGAAGACTCCTTGCCTACATCTCTCATAGTTCTGTTAAATATTTTTTTACATTCCTTTCTTTTTCAAAACTAGTTCTTAGGAACAGAGACTCAATGATGTAAGCATTTCTATTCCAAGATGTGTTACAGGTGGGAAAAGGGCAGGATGGCTGGAACCCTGTACTGAGCAATGACTAGAGGGCTTCCAAATGTTTAAAAGAGTCTTTAAACTACTGAGTGGTTACCTAGGTAACAACCCTCTTGAGTATTTACTGTCCAGTTCAGGATTTTTGTTTTGTTTTGTTTAATGTATGGCTTTGCAGAAGACGTTGAATCAGTGTGATGGGGGGAAAAGACATTTTATCGTAGCTTTTACATTTTTATGAAAAAAAATTATTATTGGCCTTTTAAATTTTTTTTGGTCTCATTCAAAGTCTTGATAGTAAGCATTATTTGGGGAGTAGAAATAGTGAAATCTCTAGCCTCTTTGTGTTTTTGATGTTGTTGTTGCTGTTGTTTTATATAATGCACGTATTCACTAAAATAAAGTTTTAAAAACTAATGTCTTGCTAGACAAGGTTTGCTGTTGTGCAGTGTGCCTGTCGCTACTGGTCTTCTGTACTCTTTGGATTTGCATTTTTGTATTTTGTACAAAGTAAAAATAAAGTGTATGAGTAGTAAAAAAAAAAAAAGAAAGTTATTTGTCTACTATCTTAAAATACAACACAAGAAACAGAGACTTGCCTGAGTGGCGTGCCTCGGTGGTTGAGCATCGACCTATGAACGAGGAGGTCACGGTTCAATCCTAGTCAGGGCACATGCCCAGGTTGCGGGCTTGATCCCCAGTGCAGGGCATGCAGGAGGCAGCCAGTCAGTGGTTCTCTCTCATCATTGATGTTTCTCTCTCCCTCTCCCTTACTCTCTGAAATCGGTGAAAAAATGTATTTTTTAAGAAACAGAGCCTTTTGAAAAGACTTCAACCTCTTCTAATAAACCTTTGCACTTTGGTAAACTGCAGAAAACCCAAAGCCCCTGGCTTTCTCCTCTAAACGCGGCAATCAGACACTATTCCCTGCTTCACCCCTTCCGTCTGTAGATCCCTTCAGAGGAAGAACTATCTCGTTAAACCCACCTCTCATCTCAGCTGCCTGTTCACTCACGTGAGGGCCAAGTATTACCAGCTAACGTGGGGATTTGGTAGCCAGCGCAGAAAGAAGCCCCTGGGGACTCATAGAATTTGGAAATCGGAGAGAACGGTGGATGTGTCAACGTGTCATTTTGGGTGACAGGCTGGAGCACTTATTTTGTGAAATGGAAAGATTTTGGTTTTGGTTTTTTGGAGAACTAGTCACAATTCTAAAGTTACCATTTTTTAATTGCCCGGTTGTTTGTTTGTTTTTCTCTTCCCACTAATTTCTCTAAGATTTGGGTAGTCTTATCTAAATCAGAATGGTTTCAAATATTTTTATCAAAACTTAAAAACCTTTTTCTAACCTATGAACTATACTCTTTATATATTAAAACGTCACATTCAACAATCCACCAATTTGCCATTTATAATTCTTATTTGTCAAGTGGGCTGAGCTTTGCCTGTTTGGGTACTTTGGTTAACCTTGACAGAAGGGAGAAAGAGAGGATTGTTTTCCTTAGTTAAAATTAGATGCCAACAAATTATTTTTTAGATATGTTTTTATTGATTTCAGAGAGAGGGATAGAAACATCAATGATGAAAATCATTGATCGGCTGCCTCCTGCACGCCCCCTACTGGGGATTGAGCCCAAAACCCAAGCACTGCCCTGACCATGATCTCCTGGTTCATGGGTCGATGTCAAGCACTGAGCCACACCGGCTGGGCCCCAAAAAATTATTTTGAAGGGTTACCTCAGAACACTTGTACTCTAGCAAACATGCTGGTACAGTTTTAGTTTTAGCCTTTTAGAGTTAGTTTTACTGGTTTTCCAGTACTCTGATCCCATTCAGTTATATTACTTTAGTTTAAAATAAGAATAGGATAATCAGTAATTCAAGAATTGTGCACTCCATTCACTCATTCATTCAACTACCTTCGGTGTACCAAGTACCAGGGGGTACAGAGATAAATATTTCTCTACATAGTTTAATTTTAGAAGAGAGAGAGAATCTTAGCACATTAAGGTATCTGACTGTTGCAGTGTGTTTACATGATAGGAAGTAAGACCCAATGGGCATTAGTCCAAGAGAAAAGACAAAAAAACACTTGCAGGGCCAAGAACAGCTCCCTGGGCTCTTGACTCCAGCACTGCTCATTCCAGCAAAGACCAGAAGAGTTCACCTTTTTATTACTGCCCAGTAGAGTAGCCCTGTTAAGTGACACAGGTGGGCAGCTCCCCAGTAATATAAATCAGTCACATTTTACTGGGCACATTAAAATTGCGTATCTGGCCCAGCTGGTATGGCCCAGTGGTTGTCAACCCATGAACCAGGAGGTCATGGTACATTGTTACCAGGTACATTGTTAGTGTTTGCAGATTAAATTGAATATTAAATAGAAAAATAAAAGTGAATTTTTAAATTTCTTAGTAGTATACCTCCTCCGTCTGAAGTTTATAACCCCAGCTACCAAAGACAAAGAGAAGGGTGATAGCGCTTGTGCTTTTCTTTGCTAGACAGGAAAACAATCCCAGGACTAAGAAGTGAATCCTACTGGCAGGTTGTCGGGACCCCTACAGAAATCATTGTCATGTGACTCTAAGGATGGTCCCCTATCCTTGACTGTATTGGTCTTATTAACTAAACTGTGTACTGATGGTATCCCCTGGCCCGTACTGTTTTCTGACTGTGGAGATGACAACGCTATAACTTACGTGGAGGAAATGTTGTCAGAAAGTCAAGCAAACCCCTCCTCCTCTGACTGGAAATAGCCTTCTCTACCTGTCAGAGACCTCATTACTCAAATCTTCCGAAAAATTCATTAGGTCAAAGTCATCAGTTCTTTGCCATGTTAATGTACAGCAGATGTGAATAATCATATAATGGAGCTCTTCCTCAACCGAAGGGGAAATAATTGAATGTTTTTCATTTTCTCAATTGATTTTCTCTCAGATTTTTCTGAAAACTTCAGTCTTCTGCTGCTAGTGAGCACTGACAGGCAGGTACATGAACGAGAGCAAGCGAGTGTTAGTGAAAGCACAGACAGTTCGGACACCAAACGGCTTGCTTTTTTTCAGAAGTATATGTGCTTGTGATTATAATTTTTGATTGCATGAATTTTCTCCTGGAAAAGTTCGTCGTTTGCAAGATGGGATTCAATTTAGCAATCACCTGGTATTCTTTGGAGAGAGCCAGGGCTTTCAAGTGCTCTGATTGCCAAAGTTGGGAGCTGCAGTTGTAGGTCCTAGGGGACAATGGAAGGGGCTTTACAAACAGGTCTGGAGACAGCTGAGGGGAGAACAGAATGGGTTTAAGGATGCAGACGTGGGCACCCCTCAGCTGGGGAGGTTGTGAGCTGGCCCCCTGGTAAGAGGGATGTCCACATCTGATTCTACAAACTGTCAAGATGGACACTGCAGCCAGTGCATTCCGTCACAAAATAAAAGTAGAAAAAATATAGCAAGAAGTTGGAAAAAAGGCCTTTAAAAAGTTTTATCTGTGGAAGCTCTGCCATTTTCCTTCTTTCCAGTAAATATAAGAGCTAAAACATCCAGACCTTGGCATGAATGGATCTTACATAAAATTCTTGACTTTACATTCAGAGGGAAGAGATAAGTTAGCTTCTGCACACATATTCATTAGAGCTGTAAGGGGCCTAGAAAAGTCATGTGCCACTGTAATCATATAGCCTATACATACATACATACATACATACATACTAGTAGTCTCCTGTATTGAGATAAAAGGCAGTGTCTCACATAATGGCACTTTGCATACTACTTAACTGTGAAGTGGGATTAGAACACCATCTTGTGGCCAAATCCTATAAAATAAAGAGCTAATATGCTAATTAGACCTGGTGGCAGAATGACCTTCTGACCAGTGGGAGGGGCCTCAAGGCAGCAGGGCTGCAAGGGCCAAGCCCCTCACACGAATTTCATGCATCAGGTCTCTAGTAAATATATATATAACATGCTGAACACAATAAACAATCCCTATTTCACTCTTGGGAGTTTGTTTTTAGTAATATAGTTAGTTCACTTTCTCATGATCACATAAACCATTTTGAGAATAATATTCCTTATTTTATATATAGATAATAAGAGCCTATGTACTAAAAAGAATAAGGCTTATGTAATTGAGTCTGTAGACATCAATCTTACATTTTTGGCTAAGGAACTTCTTTTAGTGCCATTATATTTTGGGCTTAGGGAGCTGGAGTGGAAAGAGGTGAGAAAGGGTGTCAGAATTTCAAAGTAAATAATTCTAATATCTTTCTCCTGTACCAAGTTCAAGTATCAGTACTTTTATATCCCCACCAATTTCCTATGGTCATAGCAACTCTCTTCACAACTCGGATTAGACCAGTGGTTCTCAACCTTCTGGCTCTTTAAATACAGTTCCTCGTGTTGTGACCCAACTATAAAATTATTTTCGTTGCTACTTCAAAACTGTAATGTTGCTACTGTTATGAATTGTAATGTAAATATCTTAGGCGACCCCTGTGAAAGGGTCATTTGACTGCCAAAGGGGTCGCGACCCACAGGTTGAGAACCGCTGGATTAGACAATCAAAAACCTAGTCCTCCAGATGCTCACTGAATGCTCTAGGTTACACACCCATTTTGACATCCTTGTAACCCACACATTCCTCTTGCCCACACATCAGACTCATGCAGGATTTATAATTATTGTCCAGATTGGTTCCAAGTTTCAAGCTATTTCATATAGAACTGCAAGTATGTTAATAATTTGTTTTCTACTTTCCAGCCCTTCATATGTTCATGGGTGCTTTTAAAAGGTACAACCTAATTCAGGTTCAAAGGAGACTTTACTTAGAAATATGTTGAGCTCAATCTCCATAAGGAATTTGGATCTCTTTGCTTGCAGAATAATTTTTATGAACCAGAACTAGCTTTGCTCCATATGTAAACTCAGAAGCATTCAAGGTTTCAAAGCTTGAAAGCCTACGGGTGAGGATACGTCCCTCTGGCTTTGTAGGTCAAGGTCCTGCAAACTGCCCTGAACA